AGGACGCCTGCGTACACATTGCCAGAACCACAGGGGTATTCGGTGAAGAGCTTCAACTCGAACTCGTATCCTGGAGGACGGGCAGTAGCATCGAAGGCGAACACCCTCCCCACCAGCCCGTGATCCTTCTTGAAGCGCACATTGAACGGGGCGCAGGCGGACAGCGCCAGTAGCTGTTCCCGCACTGCTTTGGGGCGCCCGTGCCATTCCTCTGCCCGGCCCCGCATGGCCTCGTTCAGTTCTGCCAGACAGTCCGCATTCCTCTGCTGCTTCTCTTTCTCGAAATCGGAGCCGAAGAGGGGCCGGGCAGGACTCAAGCCGGGTGCCAGCGTCAGGCCTCGGCTTCCCAGGCCAGACACTGCCGCTGCCAGCAGCCCAGGGGGCATCAAGCCAGGCATGGAGCCAAGCAAGGCCCTTCGCGCCCCCTCTGCCACGGCCTCCTCACGGCCAAGCCCATTGGCCAGGCGGGACCCCAGAGTGTATTCCAGGGCAGGCGAGGGCAGGGGGAGGCGGCCTGATGATGTGGCCCTGTCATAGCGGTCCTGGCCTGAGACGCCGCCGCCGGTCCCTGACGGCTGGGGCTGGGCCTGCGGGGGCGGCAGCTGGGGCCCCTGTGCGGCGGCAGCAGCCAGGTCCTTGGTGGCCGGGTGCTTAAGGGCCGGGGGCCCGGGGGAGCGGCCTTCGGGGAGCACGTGGCTGCGCTTGAGCTGGCGGGCGGCATCGATGAGCAGTTCGATGCGGTCCGCGCCCTCGAAGTTCACGCAGCCGCGGCACACCGCCTCGCTGAAGTCCCACACCATGGCCCACGGCATCTTGGGCAGGTCGCACAGGTAGCACCACTGGCGGCGAGACGCCTGCACAGACGCCATGGCCCCAGTCCGCGCGCCGCCCGGCCCCCGCGTTCCACCGGCCGCCGCCGTGCGATCCGCGCCGCCGCCGTGCGATCCGCGTCCCCGGGACAGCGCGAGCCACGGTCCGGCCTCCGGCTCGGCCTCCCAGCCGGATCCAGGCCCGGCCCCCCTTCCCCGCCCCCTGGGCCCTAAGCCTTTTTGCTCACTCCCGCCTCCCTCGCAGAGGCAGGCTGAGGCACGTCGGCGCCCCCGCCCGGTCCGGGCTCCAAGCCGAGGCGCACAGCTCGGGTCCCACGATGGGCCTCTCTCACCGCCGCCTAGGGCTCCCGCCGCTCTCGCCGCCGCCGCTGCAACGGCCGCCGCCGCCTCCACCTCCTTCTTCTGCCCCAGAGGCCGCTTCGCAGGGAAAGTTACATAACGCGCCGGCAAAGCCTTCTGGGAAACGTAGTCCCGCCGGGGCCTGCTCTTAAAGGGAACGGCGGGTAGCGGCTGGCTGCGGGGGTCGCCGCCTCTCCTCGCGCAACCCTTACTCCTCCTCGCCTCGGGGCCGGAGTTCGGCGCGCCGCGAGGAGCTGGGACACAAAGGTGGGAGGCGAGGACGAAATACGAATGATCAGAGCTACTCCGGGTTCAGAAATTGTGGGGGTGGGTGGATAGGTTGCCGGGCTTCCAACTTCTGTTTCGATTTGCTGTGCAGCTTTAGGTAAATTGTCTTGCCCTCTCTGAGCCTCAGTTTCCTCGCCCAGCAAAGGTGGGCCAGTGACGAATTAGGAAGGCAGCAGCTTCTGGGGCGGGTCGGAGAAGCTCTGATTGATTGGCTTCAGAGAAGGGACGAGAAGCTGCCAGCTAGGAGGGGGTGGGGGTGGCCACTTGGCATTTCGTCCTCCCCCGGAATCCCTGGCTCTGGGGCCCGCCACAGCCAGAGGAGGGAGAGGACTAAGGGCTCCCGAGTCAGAGCTTTGCCTCAGTTTGCTAAAGGAGGGGGGCGACCGAGCCCCCTCTAACCCTGTCCCAGCTCTGCTCGCGTGCTCTGGTCTCTAAAGGGTTACACCGTCGGCCACTAGGCGTCCCCCACCCGCTTCACTACAATTCCCAAAATGCACCGCGGGGCGGACAAAGTGACGTACTTCCGCCGTCTGGGAGGTTGGGGGAGGCCTACCAGATTCGCGATACCTCCCCCGCTCCCCACCCCCAACTTTATGGGGGTCTTTGCGTGCTTTCGGAGCATGGCGTTTGCGGGACCCTTAGCCTCTATTGCTCCCCAGTTTGAGGGAGAGTAAGGGGCCAAGAGGAGGGAGTTGCTGGGGAAGGGCAAATACCCGACCACCTTTCCCGAACCTTGAGAGCTAACTACCTGGGAGGCCCAATCAGGCTTTGGGGACCCTCCTGTCTTCTTTCCCCGGCATTGGGAAAGGGACGAGGCTGTCTTTGGGGAAGGGCGGAGACGGGTCTCCAGGTTCTAACCCACAGCAGCCCCTTTCTCTTTCTAGGCCTGGGTCCGTGTTAGGTGCTTAAAAATATTTGAATGACGTGCCAGTTGGCCCTGGTTTTCAGTCTAGTGAGGGGCTGTCCCTTCCCCTCCCGTCCCACTGCAACCGCAGCAGCTCTGATTGTTACCCAGACTTCACAATTTCAAAATAGTTTCACAATGTTGCCTACCACCTGTATTTGAACACTTTTCTCTCTTAAAAAAAGATTTATGAGGCCGAGGTGGGAGGATTGCTTGAGCCTGACGGTAGAGGCTGCGGTGAACCATGATTGCGCCACTGCACTCCAGCCTGGGCGATAAAGCAAGACCCTATCAAAAAAAAGAAAAAGATTTATCTACTTTTGCCGCATGCGGGTACTTGGTTCGCAATGATGGGTTTCATGTACTGATTACCTTAAAAAAAAAAAAAAAAAGTTAAAACTACAGAATCATTCTGGAGGCATTCATATGTCACTTAAAATTGCCTTTGGGCCATTATTTACTAAACACTAATGGGAGTTAAGACTTCTGGCCTGATTCGGCCTTCAGGTGGACTGGACTGGCCTCTGACCAGCTGTGGCCTTGGGCAAATGTCTAAAGTTCTTGGGAAAAATGAAGACCCTCTCCCCCCAACCAGTCTGTTTTTATTTGGGTACCTTCAGATTGAATGGAAACTTGCATATAAATGCTTAGTTTGATGCTTGGCACAGAAGTGCCATAAATGGAAGTTGTTTTTAAGCTGTGCAGTTAGTCAACTATTCAACCCCTCTTCCGTTCTGGGCATTGCTGGGGACACGGCAGTGATTGAGACAGACTTAAGCTCTGCCCCCGAGAAGCCCCAGCCTGGTGATGGAGGCAGATATTAAACTTAAATTTACTCAAAATGATGAACTAAAATTTGTGATAGCTGCTGTGGAGTGTGTGTTAGGGAAAGCTTTCCTGGCCAGGCGTAGTGGCTCATGCCTGTAATACCAGCACTTTGGGAGGCTTGAGGAGTGTGGATTACTTGAGGTCAGAAGTTTGAGACCAGAATGGCCAACATGGTGAAATCTTGTCTCTAAAAATTAAAAAATTAGGCTGGGCGGGCCAGGCGCAGTGGCTCATGCCTGAAATCTCAGCACTTAGGGAGGCCAAGGTGGGTGGATCACAAGGGCAGGAGTTCAAGACCAACCTGACCAACATAGTGAAACCCCATCTCTACTAAAAATACAAAAATTAGTTTGGTGTGGTGGCCCACACCTGTAATCCCAGCTACTCGGGAGGCTGAGGCAGGAAAATTGCTTGAACCTGGACCCGGGAGGTGGAGTTGCAGTGAGCCGAAATCGTGCTACTGCACTCCAGCCTGGCAACAGAGAAAGACTCTGGGGGAAAAAAAAAAAAAAAAAAAAAAAAAGAAAGAAAAAGTATAATATAATTATAGGAAGAAAACCTCTGACATCTTTATGCCCATTTACAGATGAGAATGCTAGAAGCCCATGGCTACTCAGTTGGCCGGAGCAGCCTCAGGGCTTGAGTCATGTCTGAGTCCAGGATGATGGTGACTGTCTACTTTGTTACCTGGCCCTGCAGCAGAGTAAAAGAACCAGTTCCTGCCTTCATGACATTATGGGGCAAATGTGCCTTAAACAGATAAGTCCTGTGTTCATTTAGAGATACCATGAAAAAGAACCTGGCTGTGTGTGGGGGCTCATGCTTGTAGTCCCAACACTTTGGGAGGCCAAGGTCGGAGGACTGCCTGAGCCCAAGAGTCCAAGACCAGCCTGGACAACACAGGAAAACCCCATCTCTACAAAAATCAAACAGCCGGGCAGATGGTGCAGGTCTGTGGTCCCAGCTACTTGGGAGGCTGAGGCAGGAGGAGTGCTTGAGCCTGGGAGGTCGAGGTTGCAGTGAGCCGTGTTAGTGCCACTGCATTCCAGTCTGGGCAACAGAGCGAGATCCTATCTCAAAAAAACAAAAAAGAAAGAAAAGAAAAGAAAAAGAAAAAGAACCACAGACACTGAGAGAGACTCTAAGAGGCAAACCCATATTAGCCTTGGGGAGGGAATCTAGGACTTTCTCCTGGAGGTCACATTTAGACTGGTATCTAAAGGATGAATAGGAATAAGATTTCATGTGAACAGAAGACTTGATGGATTTAAAAACCAAAAAAAGGCTGGAAAACCACCAGCCTCCCAATTGCCTGCCTGTGCAGGGGGCAGGTGTAGGTGCTGGTCCCCCCAGGCCCGTCTCAGACAGCGCCTCAAGTAATTGTATTAAAAATAAGTTTATTGATATCTTGTCACCACTGGGGAGAAAGGAGGGGGTTGAGCTCCAGAAGTCAGAGATGGCAATGGTAGGCAGAGAACCCAATCTCTGCCTCTCCTATCAGAACTCGGAGTCTCCTCTCCCTAGGGTATAGACGGCTGTATCCTCTTTGTCATCCATATTTTGATTTGTCTCACGACTCCCACCCCCTCCAAAGTCTGGGATGGGGAGGTAGGGAGTCCCCCACGGGTCAATTCTTTTCAAGTCAAGAACAGGAATTGTTAGGGAAGGGCTATGTGCAGACCCGAGAGGTTTCCTCCCCACCCCACATAGGGCAATAATAAATAACATGAAATCGATGGCTTAGAAGTCAGGGTTAAGGGAGGCAGCCAGGCAGACAGCACTGTACCAGAGAAAGGGGTTGGGGGGGCCCACTGCTGAGGCCCCCCCAGAGAATCAGGCACTAACTAGCACAGGGAGTGGGTGCTCACATCCCTGGAGCAGGGAGCTAGGGTGCAGCTGGGATGGGCAGAGAGCATCGCCCCCCTCGACTGCGCCAAGCTGGGGAGAGGGGGTGCAGGCAGGAGTGTAGATAGTAGATTTCACGGAGATTTCCATCGACCGTGCCTTTTCCGTGTAGGGAAACCTTTTCTCCGCTTGTGTGGGGGGGGAGTCGTGTGGAGGGAGTGGGGCTGAAGGTAGCCGGGGCGCCCCCTCCTCACTTCTTGGGGCAATGATCACTCCCCTGGCTGCCACCACTGCCCCGTCCACCACAGCAGCCACCACAGACACGGGCTCTGGGGTGATCTCTACTTTGGGGGCTGGAGGGGGCAGGACAGGCCTGGGAGCTGGGGGTGGGGGTGGGGGTGGGGGCAGAGGTGGGGGGAGGGAGTCGACTGGGGTTCCTGGCAGAAGGGGCAGCAGGGCGCTGAGGGCCTCGCTCAGTTTGGCCAGTCCCTGTCGAAGGGTACCAGCCAGTTCCCGGATGGCGTTGGCAGTCTCCTGCTGGGCTCGCAGGAAGTCCAGGGAGGGGTCTGGGGCCGAGAGCATGGGTGGAGGCCGAGGAGGGGGTGGGGGGCTTGGGGGTGAGGGTGCCACTTGGGCCAGCGGCAGTGGGGGTGGCAGTGGAGGGGCTGGAGGCGGTGGAGACAGGGCCAGGCGAGGCAGCTGGACTGGCTGCAGGGCCGAAGGGGGTGGGGACTCACGCTCCTTGGGCCGAGGGCAGCCCCCTTCCTGGGGATTGCAGGAGGGCCGGGCCCAGGGCTCGGGGCTGCTGGAGTCCCCCTTGCTGTGGGCTGATGTATCTGTAGAGAGAGAAATGCAGGTAAGGGGTGAATGACCCTTGATGCTGCCGTGATTTCCCCTTTCCCCCTCCCTCCCTCACCTTCCCCCAACCTAAACCTAGAACAGAGTCTTTCTCTGTTACCCAGGCTGCAGTGCTGTGGCATGATCTCGGCCAACTGCAATCTCCACCTCCCAGGTCCAAGCGATTCTCCTGCCTCAGCCTCTGGAGTGGCTGGGATTACAGGTGCCCACCATCACACCCAACTAATTTTTGTATTTTTAGTTGAGACAGGGTTTCACCATGTTGGCCAGGCTGGTCTCGAACTCCTCACCTCATCATCCGCCACCTTGGCCTCCCAAAGTGCTGGGATTACAGGCATGAGCCATTGCACTCAGCCCCAGAACGATCCTTTTAAAACGTAAGCCAGATCATGCCTTAGACGAGAAGCTCCAAGGAAGGCCAGTCTTTCTACCCAGAGAAGAGTCTGTGCCAGCTTTAGTGAAAACAGGTCCTGGAAGTCCCTTGCTGGCAGGCAGCTCCCATTTCACCCACAGTAAGAGCCAACACTTTTTTTTTTTTTTTTGAGACAGTCTCACTTTGTAGCCTAGGCTAGAGTGCAGTGGTGCGCGTATGATCTTGGCTCACTGCAACCTCCATCTTCTGGCTTCAAATGATTCTCCTGCCTCAGCCTCCCCAGATAGCTGGGACTACAGGTATGTGCCACCCTGCCTGGCTAAATTTTTGTATTTTTAGTAGAGACAGGGTTTTCTTGGCCAGGCTGGTCTCAAACAGGCTGACCTCAAGTGATCTATCCACCTTGGCCTCCCAAAGTTCTGGGATTGCAGGCATGAGCCACCATGCCCAGACAAGGGCCAACATTTGACAAGGCTCTGAACTATGTGGATACTGCACCCACTGCTGGATCCTGAGGAGGTGAGAGAGGGGCCTGGGGCAGAGTAAGGGTGGCCGGGTACTGGGGACATTTCCCTGAGACTCTCTCCAACCAAGGCTGCAGGATTTTCCAGTTCAGCCCCCAGCCTGGTAGGCTTCCTCAGTCTCTACTCACCTGGGGTCTGACTCATGCTCGTGGGCTTGAACACAGTCTGCATACACAGGCTCCCAGCTTCCTGGGCCCAGCCTGAACCTCTCGCCTGAGCTCCTGACTCCTCTCTCCTGCTGGGCACTCTAGATTGTCTAAAAATGCTCCAAACTCCCTTGCTCAGAGCTGGGCTTCTGATCCTCCCCAAACCTGCTCCTCCCTCAGCTACCCCATCTCAGCAGATGCAGCTCCATCCTCCTAGCTGCTCAGGTTAAACACCTTCACTGTTTGGTTTACTAAGACACCATCTGCGTGCAGACACTATCAGCTCTGCCTTCAAATTAATTACATCCAACGTCTTTCTCCATGGTCCCCCACCCCTGGTCTAACCGCCAGCATCTCCCAGCGAGACCACTGCAGTCACCACCTCACTGACGGCTCTCTGCTTCCACCCCTGCCCCTGACACTGTCTTTTTCCACCATCAGCCTGAGGGGGTCCAACTAAATCACAAGGCAGTGAGGCTACAGGAAACAAGCTAGTCACAAAGGACCACAGGTCTTAGGGCCGTTTATATGAAATGTCCAAAAGAGGCAAATCTGGCTGGGTGCAGTGGCTCATGCCTGTAATCCCAGCGCTTTGGGAGGCTGAGGCGGGTGGATCAACTGAGGTCAGGACTTTGAGACCAGCCTGGCCAACATGGTAAAATCCCATCTCTAGTAAAAATACAGAAAACCAGCTGAGTGTGGTGGCTCATGCCTGTAATCCCAGCTATTCAGGAGGCTGAGGCAGAAGAATTGCTTGAACCTGGGAGGTGGAGGTTGTAGTGAGCTGAGGGCACGCTACTGTACTCCAGCCTGGGCAATAGAGCAAGATTCTGTCTCAAAAAGAAAAAAAATAGGCAAATCTATAGAGACAGAAAGCAGACGAGTGGCTTCCAGGGGCTGGGGGAAGATGGGGAAGATGGGGATTGGGGATGGCTAAGAGGTGCAGGGTTTCTTTCTGGAGTGATGAAAATGTTCTAAAATTGATTGTGGTGATGGTTGCACAACCGTGACTATACTAAAAGCCATTGATTTGTACACTTTGTTTTTTATATTTTTGAGACAAGAGTCTCGCTCTGTTGCCCATGCTGGAGTGCAGTGGTGAGATCTCAGCTCACTGCAGGCTTAACCTCCCCAGCTTAGCGATCCTCCCGTCTCAGCCTCCTGAGCTGCTGGGACCACAGATGCACAACCCCATGCCAGGCTAATTTTATTTATTTTTTTGTAGAGATGAGGTCTCACTATGTTGCTCAGGCTGGTCTCAAACTTCTGGGCTCAAGCGAATTGTACACTTTAAGTGAGTTGATAGTATAGTATGGGAATTATATCTAATATAATTATTTTTAAAAATACAAGTCAGGCCAGGCACAGTGGTTCACATCTGTAATCCCAGTAGTCTGGGAGGTCGAGGCGGGCGGATCACGAGGTCAAAAGATCTACACCATCCTGGCCAACATGGTGAAACCCCGTCTCTACTAAAAATACAGCAATTAGCTGGGTGTGGTGGTGCGTGCCTGTAGTACCAGCTACTTGGGAGGCTGAGGCAGGAGAATCGCTTGAACCTGGGAGCCGAGATCGTACCACTGCACTCTGTCCAGCCTGGCAACAGAGCAAGACTCTGTTCCAAGAAAAAAAATATGTAAGTCAGATATTGTTTCTATGCTTGAACCGTCCTGTGGCTCCCACCTCGCTCAGGGTAAAAGCAAAGTCCTTGAGGCCTCTAGGGCCCTGCCTCCCTGACCTCAGCTCCCATCCCTCCCTCTGAACTTACTTAGCTCTAGCCATGTGGGCTCCTTGCGAACCCTCAAACACATCAGGCCTACTTCTTTTTTTTTCTTTTTTTTTGAGTAGGAGTCTCATTCTGTCACCCAGGCAGGAGCGCAGTGGCGCAGTCTCGGCTCACTGCAGCCTCTGCCTCCTGGGCTCAATCGATTCTCCCACCTCAGCCTCCTGAGTCGCTGGGACTACAGGTGTGCACCACCATGCCTGGCTAATTTTTGTTTTGTTTTTGTAGAGACAGGGTTTTGCCATGTTGCTCAGGCTGGCCCGTCCCTCTCCTTTTCTCTCCCCTAACCCTACCTGATTCCTCTCCTAGCTCTTATCTCCACCTGGCATGGAGTGGCTCTGCGTCTGCTGTCTGCCTCCTCCTCCTGATGTCAGCTCCATCAGGCAGGGCTTTCGATCGCTCCCTTCTGTTTACCCGGTGCCTAGAACAATGTCCAGCACAACATTTTTTCTTTAATGAGAAAACAACTGGGGCTTCCAGAGAGTCAGCGCTGATTGGGTCCCAGGCTCCAGAGCTCCCAGCAGCCACAGGAGAAAGTCCAGCCTCTTCCCACAGCTCTGGGGCCTCAGCGCTTGCTCCCACCTCCTTCTTTCTGTCTGTCTTCCCACGTGCTGTTCCCTGGGCCAGGCTCACACTGCCTCTTGCGTCAGCTCGGATGTTTTTCTCGGATGTTCCTTCCTTGGGGAAGTTGGCCTCTCGCTCCTTGGCCAAATCAGATTACCCCGTTCTTCTCTCAAAAACAGCCAGCCAAAGAAAGAGAGAGAAAAGAAAAAAAAAATAACAAAAACAAAAAACCAGCCATCCAGGCTAGGCACAATGGCTCACGCTAGAAATCCCAGCATTTTGGGAGGCCCAGGCATGTGGATCACCTGATGTCAGGAGTTTGCGAACAGCCTGGCCAACATGGTGAAGTCCTGTCTCTACTCAAAATATAAAAATTAGCTGGGCGTGATAGGGCATGCCTGTAATCCCAGCTACTCCAGGTACAAGAATCGCTTGAACCTTGGAGGCAGAGGTTGCAGTGAGACTAGATCGAACTCTAGCCTGGGTGACAGATCAAGACCCTGTCTCAAAGACAAACCAACAAACCAGCCACATCCTGCCCTGGCTGCTGGGGTCCAGCCTCCCTGGGCCAGCCACCAGCAGGAGGTAGGGGAGGCTGGGAGACAGATAAGCAGAGCGGACAGTTACAGGACAACTGAGCCAGGCCCTGGGCTAAATCCCCTCTTACATCATCTCATGGAGTCCTCCCAGCCATTCTCTGGGGAAGGCACCATCATGATCATCGCCCCATTTTACAGATGAGGTGACTTGATGCTCAGAGAGAGGTGTCATATGCAGAAAAGGGATTTGAACCTGGGTTGACTCCAGAGTCCGTGCTTTTGTTCGTTTTGTAGAGATGGGGGCCTCGCTATATTGCCCAGGTTGGTCTCAAACTCCTAGCCTCAAATGATCCTCCTACCTTGGCTTCCCAAAGTGCTGGGATTACAGGTGTGAGCCACTGCATGGCCAGAGTCCACGCTCTTTTTGTTTTTGAGACAGAGTCTCACTCTGTCACCCAGGCTGGAGTGCAGTGGCATAATCTGGACTCACTGCAACTTTTACCTCCCAGGTTCACTCATGCCTCAGCTTCCTGAGGAACTGGGATTATAGGCATGTGCACCACGCCTGGCTGATTTTGTATTTTTAGTAGAGACGAGGTTTTACCATGTTGGCCAGGCTGGTCTCGAACTCCTGTTCTCAAGGGATTCGCCCACCTTGGCCTCCTCGGTCTCCCAGAGTGCTGGGATTACAGGTGTGAACCACTTCGCCACAGCAGAATCCATGCTCTTAAACACTCCTGGGGCAAGGGCTGTGGGCCTGGGGTGTGGGTATTGGTAGGAAGTCTTCCTTATAAGGAACATGGGAATTGCAGCCACTCAGAAATGTGGCTTTTCTGGTCTACTGAGTAAAAAGGAACAGAAAGTAGCCCAGCCTTCATGCCCACCAGGTTCACAGGAGTCATAGAGGCCACTGCAAGAGTTGTTTTTTTTTTTTTGGTTTTTACTTTTTTCTTTTAGAGACAGAGTCTAGCTTTGTCACCCAGGCTGGAGTGTAATGGTGTGATCTCCACTCACTGCAACTTCCACCTCCCAAGCTCAAGCAATTCTCCTGCCTCAGCCTCCAGAGTAGCTGGGATTATAGGCACACACCACCACGCCTGGCTAATTTTTGTATTTTAGTAGAGATGGGGTTTCACCAGGTTACCTAGGCTGATCTGGAGCTCCTGACCTCAGGTGATCTACCTGCCTCAGCCTCCCAAAGTGCTGGGATTACAGGTGTGAGCCACGGTGCCCAGCTGTTTTTTTTTTTGAGGAAGGCTGTCGCTCTGTTGCCCAGGTTGGAGTGCAGTGGTACGATCACGGCTCACTGCAACCTCTGCTTCCCAGGCTCAAGGGATCCTCATGCTGCCTCAACGTCATGTGTGGCTGGGACCAAGGTGCCATGCCACCATGGCTGGTTAATTTTTGGATTTTTTTGTAGAGATGGGGTCTCACTTTGTTGCCCAGGCTGGTCTTGCACTCCTGGGATCAAGCAATCCTCCAGCCTCAGGCTCCCAAAGTGCTAGGATTACAGACATGCCTCTGTGCCTGGCTTCACTGTGAGAGTTAAAATTACATTTATTTGCAAACTTTGGATCTCAGTTTTCCCTACTTGTTGTTTTTGTTTGTTTTGAGAAGGAGTCTCGCTGTGTCACCCAGGCTGGAGTGTAGTAGCACGATCTCAGGTCACTGCAACCTCCACCTCCCAGGTTCAAGTGATTCTCCAACCTCAGCCTTCTGAGTAGCTGGGATTACAGGTGCATGCCACCATGTCCGGCTAATTTTTATATTTTTTTAGTAGAGATGGGGTTTCGCTATGTTGGCCAGGCTGGTCTCGAACTCCTGACCCCAGGTGATGTGCCTGCCTCGGCCTCCTGAAGTGCTGGGATTAGGCATGAACCACTGCACCTGCCCCTCAGTTTCCGTACTTGTAAATGAGTGTGTGACCTGGGACTACACAGAGTGCTGAGATTATAGGCATGAGCCACCGTGCCAGGCCTGTGTAAAGTTCTAATCGAGGATGCTCTATGCATGTTCCCGCCTCAGAACCTTTGCACATGCTGTTTCCTATAGCAGGAGTGCCCTTTTCCCAGGTGTCTGCCAGGCTCACACTATTCTCACCTCTACTTGAATTTCACCTTCTCTGAGAAGCCCTTCCTGACTACCCTTACAGCCCCCTTCCGTGACTCACCATCCTCTGAATATGCCTTATTTCTCCTCTTAGTTCTTACCACCTCCTGTATACACAGTCTATTTTGGGGGTTACTTCTTTGTGGTCTGTTTTCTTCAACTACATAGAATGTCGGCTCCATAAGGAAAGGGGATCTTGTTTTTCTTTACAGTATTCCCTGCACTTACAATAGTAGCTGCCTTGAAAGGGGTTCTCAATGTATTATTTGTTAAATGAGTCAATGAAGCGGTTATACAGCTTCTGAAAAAATAAGTTGGCCATCTCTGCTCTGCTCCTATGGGGCCATCTCACAGATGGAAACACCGAGGTTTGATTCAAGGTTTGAGAACAAGGATCCCACGTGATTGTGTCACCTTCCTGCTTAAGAGACTTTCATGCCTGCTGAATGCACTTAAGAGCAAATCCAGGCTGGGCGCGGTGGCTCATGCCTGTAATCCCAGCACTTTGGGAGGCCGAGGAGGGCGGATCATCTGAGATCGGGAGTTGGAGACCAGCTTGGTCGACATGGTGAAATCCTATCTCTACCAAAAATACAAAAACTACCCAGGCATGGTGGTGGGCATCTGTAATCCCAGCTACTCAGGAGGCTGAGGCAGGAGAATCACTTGAGCCTGGGAGGCAGAGGTTGTAGTGAAGCCAAGATTGTGCCCCTGCTTTCCAGCCTGGGCAACAGGGCGAGACTCCATCTAAGAAAAAAAAAAAAGCAGGTTCAAATTCCTGACCTTGACTTCCACACCACGTGTAATCTAATTCTGACACACTCATTAACTCCTGGTCAATATTAACTCTTGTTATTGCTAGGCAATCTAGCCCAGTGGTTAACTGCCATGGACTGGGAGTTGGACACACACTTATGTTTGAGTCCTGACTCTGTCACTTACTTGCTGTGTGACCTTGTGTTGGTGAATGAACCTCTCTGAATCACTTGATCTTGAATTGTCTTAATTGATCATGCCCATGTTCCTCCCCTTCTTCCAACCCTTCAGTGGCTCCTCATAGCAGTCAGGATAAAATCCAAACTCCTCACCTTGGCCTAAAGGCGCAGTATGGTCTGGCCTTTCCTGACCTCTCTGAGCTCATCTCAAAATGTTACTTTTCTTCAACCTTTCCCCTCTACACCCTCTGCTCTGCAACTTTTAGTTTCCCAAACTGGCCAAGCTTTCTTGCCTCCAAGCCATTGCACGTGCTGTTTCCTCTACCAAAAATACCTTCCCAGCTCTTCATCTTACTCTTTGCATTTCAGCTCTGATGCCCCCTCCTCCAGGAAGCCCTCCTGGATACTCCCCCTCCCCCGCCCCCCCCCCCCCTCAGAGTCAGAAACCCCGTCTGGGCTCCCACAGTCCCTAGGATCCCCCACCCCAGCCCTGTCCCCTCAACTCATCACTGTCTTCCCCACCCCACTACTGGACTGGCTCAGTCATCCATGTGTCTCCAGCCTTATCCAGCACAGAGCAGGTGCTCAGGGGATGGCTGTAGAAGAAATAATCCAGAATCAAAGCTAAGCAGGAAGTCTCTGTAGTCAGCTCTCCACACCTCTATCGAAGGCATGACCTTGGGAAAATGACCAAACACGTCTGAGTCTTTGATTTAGGAAATAGTGAAATAGTATGCATCTCGCCGCAATGACGATTCTATCAAGAACTAACAGTGAGAGTTCAGGAGGTGCTGACCTCAGCAACTTACCCATATTAGCTCATTTAATCTTTACAGCAACACTTTGAGGGGCAGACTATTTTTATCTCCATTTTACAGATGCAGCAACTGAAGTACAGTAACTTACTCAGATGACACACTGGAGTGGCAAAGTTGTGATTGGAGCCCAGGCAGTCTGCCTCCAGAGTCACTACTCTACACTGCCTTTCATGAAATCCCGCCTGTGCTGACGATCCCAGGTGTGGACCTGAGTCAGGCCTCCTAGGTCTGGTTTCATTCCTGACTCTTGACAGTCACTAGCTAAGGGACCTGAGGCAAGTCATTTCATTTCTCTGCGTTTCAGTTTCCCTCGCTATAAAGTAAGGAGGACAGCACCCATCTCACAGGCTGCAGCAAGTCTTGGATGAGCCACGTAAAAGGCTTGGAACAGCGCAGGCACACAGCCAACTTTGTGTTTGCTCTCGCTAAGGCGATGCTGAAGACACTCACCTGCACGCGCAGGCACACAGCCAACTTTGTGTTTGCTCTGCTAAGGCGATGCTGAAGACACTCACCTGCACGTCGGTCCTCCCTGCGGTCTTCCGACAACACATAGCGTTGGGGGCAGGCGCTTGGGGGCGGCGGCTGTGAGGAGGGTGCTGCAGGGGGCTCCTCCGCCCCAGCACCTGCCCCTGGCACCGCCACACCTGGCCCCAGGATGGCAAAAATGGTCTCCTCTTCCGCGGAGAAGGCGTCCTCCGCGGCGGGCCCGGCACCCTGCGTGGAGTGCGGCACGCGGGCGAGCTTCTCCTTGGTGCGGCGCTTGAAGTCGTTCCAGCGCTTCTGCACCTCCTGGCCGGTGCGCTTCCAGCTGGTGATACCGTTGATCTTGGCAGCGATGCCGTCCCACACGCGCCGCCGCTCGGCCACGCTCACCCGACGGCTCTGCGCGCCGTAGAGCTGCGGGTAGTGGGCGCGCACCTCGCGGATCAGGATCTGGTTCTCTTCGAACGAGAAGCGCGGCTTGCGCAGCCGGGTGGTTTCCTCCGTTTCGCCCGCCGCCGCCGCCGCCGCCGAGGCCATGGCGCCCCCCGACGCCGCCGTCCGGCCGCCTGGCGCATGGGGGGCGCCGGCGCTGTGGGCAAAGGGCGCAAGGGGCTGGCGGGGGCTCGACGTCCCCCGCGCCGCCGCCCGCCCAGACCGCCGGGCCGCGAGCTCCTCGGCCGCTGGGGCAGAAGTGCGGGCGGGGGTCAGGGGGAGGGCAGGGGCGACGGGCACCCGGGGCAGTCGGAAGCGCCTAAGAATAGCTGACGCCAGCGGAGCGCTCGCCTCGGGCTTCACGTGGCGCTAAGTGCCACGCTGAGGAGTTGATGGAAATTGGGGGAGGGTCTGAGGGATGGAGGGAAAGGAGGAAAAGTGCGAGGAGAGGAGGTGTCTGCAGGACTTAGAGAGTGGGGGCACGGGAGGACAGGAAATGGAGGGAGGATGTGGGTGTCTTAGGGGTCTTAGATGCATGAAGATGAGGAGATGTGGAAGGGGCGATACACCAAGAAGGGGGGAATCTGGAGCAGAGGAGGCGCTCTAGGGGCTCCGGGGGGCAACGGGGCGTCTGTAAGACTGATATGAGAAGGGCCCTGAGAGGGGCTGTCCAGGAATAATGGTGAAGTGGAAGCTCCCCTATCAGTGGAAGAGCTGGGACGATCAAATATTAGGGATCAGGGTCTGCGAGGATTGTGGGGGCTCTGGGGATTGCCACAAATTAAGGGGAGCTCTGGAGATAATGGGGGTCCGGGATCACAAGGAGACAGCAGAGGCTACGGGGGACTGCAGGAAGAGGGAGGGTCGCGGAGGGTGGGGACCGAGTCGGGCCACGGGTCACTCACCGGCGTCGCCGCTGCCGCCGGTGGGTCAGGGCTTGGGCTTCTGCGGCCTGTTCCCACCCCCCGCCCCCTCCCTCCCCTCTTTGGGCCCCGCCTCCGGCCGCCCCGCATGCCAAGGCGCAGGCGCGTCCAACGCCAGTCGGCCCCAACGCCCTCAACCTTCCCCAGCATGGCGCAGGCGCAGAACTGCGCTCCGCCGAGCCCCACCGGCAGGCCGCAACTGCGCAGCCGCAAGGTTAGCGCCGCGCGGGTCCCCTACCCCCCCGCCAAGACCACAACGGCGCACGCGCGAAAACTCGTCGCGCGCATGCACGTCCCTGGGGTGGTACCCGGGACCTGGTCTCGGCGCAGGCGTAGCGAGCCTTGGAATAGGTGGGAGATGCTGGGAGCGCGGTAGTACCCAGCGGTGTCCCAGCCTTTCCGCCAGTCTTCCAGCCCACCCTGCCCTCTAACTACGCAACTGTCCCTTTCTTTAGGAGAAAGGGGAGTGAGGCAGCGCTGAAGGGAAGCGCTTCGTCTTCTTGACAACTGCGTGGCTGGGGTGGAGGCGTGAGAAAGCCGCTTTGCCTACTCGTTTGCCCGCCCCTTCGCTGGGCCGCTCCAGAGCTGCCCACCTCGCACCTCTAGAGGCTGGGCGTCCTGGGGATGTCCCACCCCGGGCGGATGCAGTAACCATAGCAACCCAGTAGCCTTCCAATCGCACCGTGGGTGCCCCTCTGTCCGTACATTTACCTCGAGGAGCCGGGAAGATGCGAGGGAAGAGCTTCTTGGCGAGTAGGGAGAGAGATCCTGACCCCGGCACGACTTTAAGCAAGTGCATGGAGACAGGAATGAAGCCAGAACGCAGGTCGGGTGAGCCGGATGGCAGGATGATGGAGCTCAGTCCAGCTGAGAAATGTGTTCGTTAGCGTCCTGCAGGAGTCCTCAAGGTCATTCGACAACCAGTGCTTCATTCATCTAGTCAATAAATATACATGAGCACTTACAACAATTCCTGGTACAATGAGCATAAAAGCAAAAATCCGTAGTCTGGGCCTGGCTCCGTGGCTCATGCCTGCAATCCCCACACTTTGGGAGGCCAAGGCAGGCGGATCACCTGAGGTCAGGAGTTCGAGACCAGCCTGGCCATCATAGCGAAACCTCATCTGTCCTGAAAATACAGGCATGGTGGTGCATGCCTGTACTTCCAGCTACTCGGGAGGCTCAGGCATGAGAATTGCTTAAACCCGGGAGGCAGTGGTTGCAGTGAGCTGAGATTGCACAGCTGCACTCTAGCCTGGGTGACAGAGCTAGATTCCGTCTCAAAAAAAAAAAAAAAAAAAAAAAAAAAGATTGGGTGAGTGTAAACTGACCAACAGTTTGAATGGTTTCCCCCAAAAAATAGAGGCTGATGTCCTGATCCCCCAGTGCTTCAGAATGTAACCTTATTTGGAAACAGGGCCCTTGGAGAGGGAATTCTTTAAGACGAGGCCATACCAGAGTGGAGTGGGCCCTTCGTTCATCATTCCTGGTGTCTATATAAGAAGAGAAGACACACAAAGGAAGACAGCTCTGTGGCGACAGAGATGGGGGTGCTGCAGCCACAAGCCCAGGAAGGCACTGTGCTATCATAAGCTGGAAGAAGCCAGGAAATATCCTCCCCTAGAGCCTTGTCGGGAGTGAGGCCATGCCCATGCCTTGATTCAGGATTGTCAGCCTGGTGAACTGGGAGACAATATGTTTATCTCTCTTTTTTTTTTTTTTGAGATAGAAAGTCTCCCTCTGTCGCCCAGGCTGGAGTACAGTGGTGCAATCTTGGCTCACTGCAGCCTCCTTCACCTCCCGGTTCCAGCAATTCTCCTGCCTCAGCCTCCTGAGTAGCTACGATTACAGGTGTCCGCCACCATGCCCAGCTAATTTTTGTATTTGTAGTAGAGACAGGGTTTCACCATGTTGGCCAGGCTGGTCTCAAACTCCTGACCTCAGGTGATCCGCCTGCTTCGGCCTCCCAAAGTGCTAGGATTACAGGTGTGAGCTACTGTGCCCGGCCATGTTTCTCTTGTTTTAAACCACCCAGTTTTTGGTGTCATGGCAGTCACAGGAAACAAATGCACTGGGGACCCCGGGGAGGCATCCAGGGAGCTGTGGGCTCCATGGCATTCCAGGCAGAGAGCTGAGTCTAAATCTGGTTTGGATTTCACGAGACGGGAGGTGGAGAGCCACAGGCAGCAGGGTATGGAGCTCCACAGATGTGGGTAGCTGGAGGCTGGATGCTGGAGGCTGGATGCAGGAAGTCAGAGGCAAGTCTCCTGGAATCAGGGCGGCTTGGGGAAGGCTTTCTTGGGCCAGGATTTCTTTTTCTTTTTTCTTTTTTTTTTGATATGGAGTTTTGCTCTTGTTGCCCAGGCTGGAGTGTAATGGTACCATCTTGGCCCACAGCAACCTCTGCCTCCCGGGTTCAAGCAATTCTCCTGGCTCAGACTCCTGAGTATCTGGGGCTGCAGGCGCTCACCACCATGCCTGGCTAATTTTTGCATTTTTATTTTCTTTTCTTTTATTTATTTATTTATTTTTTTTTTTTTTGTTTGAGATGGGAGTTTCACTCATGTTACCCAGGCTGGAGTGCAATGGCGCGATCTCGGCTCACCGCAACCTCCGCCTCCTGGGTTCAGGCAATTCTCCTGCCTCAGCCTCCTGAGTAGCTGGGATTACAGGCACGCACCACCATGCCCAGCTAATTTTTTTGTATTTTTATTAGAGACGGGGTTTCACCATGTTGACCAGGATGGTCTCGATCTCTTGACCTCGTGATCCACCCGCCTCGGCCTCCCAAAGTGCTGGGATCACAGGCGTGAGCCACCGCGCCCGGCCATTTTTGCATTTTTAGTAGAGATGGGGTTTCACCGTGTTGGCCAGGTTCATCTCCAACTTCTGACTTCAGATGATCTGCCCGCCTTAGCCTCCCGAAGTGCTAACATTACAGATGTGAGCCACTGCACCTGGCCAAGGACCACATTTTCAAAACTATAGGTCTTTTTTTTTTGAGACACAGACTTGCTCTGTGCCCCAGGCTGGAGTGCAGTGGTACAATCATGACTCAAACTTCCCTGCTCAAGCAACCCTCCCACCTCAGCTTCCAGAATAGCTGGAACTACAGGCACACACCACCATGCCCGGCGAATTAAAAAAATTTTTCTGTAGAGACACGGTCTCACTATGTTGCCCAGGCTGGTCTCAAATTCCTGGGCTTGAGCAGTCCTCCCACCTCGGCCTCCTAAAGTGCTAGGATTACAGGCGTGAGCCACTGAATCCAGCCAAAACTATGAATCTTGACCCATTAGTGAGTCCAGGAAAATATTTACGGGGTTGCAAGTAGCATTAAACAAACGCACAAAATAAAAGAATAGTAAAATATCAGACGCACTGTATGGAGTAAGAGAGTATTAAGGAAGTATTTCTCTAAGAAAATTTGTTTCTATTATATATTTTTCTTCCTTCCTTCCTTCCTTCCTTCCCTCCCTCCTTCCCTTCTTCCCTCCTTCCCTTCTTCCCTCCTTCCCTCCTTCCCTCCTTCCCTCCTTCCCTCCTTCCCTCCTTTCCTTTTTTTGGGATTATTGGTCTGTCACCCAGGGAAACGAGGTTTCGCCCTGTTGGCCAGGCTGGTCTTGAACTCCTGACCTCAGGTGATCCACCTGCCTCAGCCTCTTAAAGTGCTGGGATAATAGGTGTGAACCACTGCACCCCATCTTCAATTATATATTTTCAGAGGTTGTTGGGCCACACCACAAGATAGTGGAAAGTCCTCAACTCTGGAGCCAGCCTGTCTAGGTTAGAATTCTCTCACTTTTTTCTTTCTTTCTTTTTTTTTTTTTGAGACAGAGTCTTGCTCCATCGCCAGGTGCCAGGCTGGAGTACAGTGGCGTGACCTTGGCTCACTGCAACATCCACCTCCCGGATTCAAGCAACTCCTCTGCCTCAGCCTCCCAAGTAGCTGAGACTACGGGTGTGCGCCACCACGCCCAGCTAACTTTTGTATTTTTAGTAGGGACGGGGTTTCACCATGTTGGCCAGGATGGCCTCGATCTTTTGACCTAGTGATCCGCCTACCTCAGCCTCTCAAACTGCTGGGATTACAGGCGTGAGCCACCGGGCCCGGCCCGAATTCTCTCACTTGTTAGGTGATCCTGAACAAGTTACTTAACTCTCTGGGCCTTAGTTTTTCTCTCTTTAAAATGAGGATTAACTCTAAGATCTACCTCATTGGACTGTCA